CCCCAAAACCCCAAAACCCCAAAACCCCGCCAGGATATAATCAAACTTAGTTAGTTATAATTTTAAAATTGTAATCAAATTTTATATTTTAAAACCAAGAATTAGATGAATAGTCAAAAGTAGTCTAATAAAAGAAAGTCAAGTGGAAAATCTGATTAAGACGAGAGCAACTACAAGTCTAAAGATTAAATTAAGGATCTTATTAAAAAAGGTAATAAATTCTTCCATCCTATAGCATCTAATAGAGCTTGGCTACGACAGTGATTTGATTATTGATTAATGAGACGAGGACTATTTGAACACTAAGACTGAGTTGGAAAAGGAATAAATCATGAAGTCAAGGTTCGACAAGCGCCAGTAATTGCTTGAGAGATATGAATTGATGCAAAAATAAAGACTCATCGGCCTGAAGCCGTCTCTTTCACAGAATCAATAAAAACTCTCATTGAATAATAGGGTTAATAACAATAAACTCAAAAAGGTAATTACTTTTATTAATAAAATTAGCATCAAAATCATTCTGATCACCCATCTCAGTGCTCTGACTGCTCTGATAACAAAAAGAGAAGATCTAGTTCGAATAAACCTAGATCATCAAAGTCAAGCAGTTCAAGCTCATCAAGTTCCTCGTCTTCTTCTTCATCATCATCAAGGTCAGATATATCGGACAAGCCCAAAGTGCCTTCAAAAAAAACAATGGCATCTACTTAACTAAAAGGTGATGCCAACACAGCAGCATTAAAAGATGCTTCTCCAATTATTCTGTCGAGAAAGTAGCTAATCTGTTTATTAGACGAATAATACTTTGATGAGATTATAATCGGCGCTCTTGTGAGAGTTTCATTTGAGAATAAATACCGAGTTAGTAAAATAGTAAAAAGTGTAGATTCTATTTGTGAATATTTGGTTGATAATCCTATGAAGATTGTAGGTAACTCTAAGGTTCCAATGGGAGCTGTTTATACTAAAAAGGAGATTTTGTGTAAATACGGCCAATTTGAGAAGAAATTTAAAATTACTCTTATCAGCAACTCTGCCCCTACCATTGATGAGTATTTAGCATTTCAACAAGCAAGAGTAAGATGCGGCAAGAAATTGCTGACTAAAAATTACTGTGATGCTAAGACGAGGAATATCAACAGACTTAAGAATACTCAACTAAGACCAGAAGAAATAGCCAGGAGAGTTAAAGAAAGGGTGCAAAATAAGATACTAAAAGGTGATATCAGTGGATTAAATTTATTTGTTGAGAAGAAGAAACTTGAAATTGAGATTCAGTAGCTGGAGGAGATGCTTAAAGACTCTAAGCTCAATAGAAATGATTACTAAGTTTACAAGAATCAGGTTCAACAGCAGAAAGACCTATTGTATAAAATGTGCTAACTAGAATAAAAGGCTTAGGCTGAGTTAGCAGCCTAGAATGTAAAGGATGAAGATCAAGAAATGAAGGATGAGAGTGAGCATTACTAGCACGATAAGGACTAGCTTAGGAAAATGAGGGAACAGGTATTGAAGTAGAGAGAGTTGGAGAAGAATTTACAAATGGAATAAGAAATGCTGGTGAAGTTAAGTTTTCCGAAGAGAATCTAATTTATTATCAATAAAAAGCGAGCAGTAATTGATTTACAAATGGATGGGAATGACGAGTTCTTAGGTCTAGATGAAAATGGTATACTGCCAGAGATTATCAACAAAATTGATGAGGAAAATTACAAATTTGGAAGTAAGAGAGGCTGGGAACATATTTGTCCTGTAGATAATAAAAGGCCTGAAACAGGGAGGGTATATACTTTTGAGAGTTACTTCAGGATGTGATTAGTTTATAATTAATTTGAATTATGAAATTAAGATTACTCAATCAAGTCCTTCTCTATCTCTACTCATATAGTAATTATTAAAATTAAACCTTGTAAAAGCTTCATCTAGATAGGAAAATACTCCCTTCTTCGTATATCTTTTTAAAGCATCAATGAGTATTTGCATGCATTGTGTGAACTTGCTTCTTAATTCATTTAACTCCACTGTGCATTCCTCTATCCTATCTATGAACTTAAAATTGTCGATTCTTAGTAGCCCTCTGCCGAATTTATCAGCATCTCTCTCTTTATTAATTGTATCCATTACATCTTCTTCCCCTCTATCTGAGTCCATTGACAAATTCAAGCCAAGATCATCACTGTCATCTAAGTTATTACTGGCACTTTAGTCATAATTATTCATGTTTAAACCTTATCCTTCTGATCTTAAGAAGTACTTTTGGCATAATTCCCTAAAACTTAAACATATCTGCAATACTTTCAATACCATATCCAAAAGCAATTTACTCTTATTATCAAGTAGGCATAATCTCATTATATTTAATAAGAAATCTTGGTGAATCTATACCAAAGCGTCCATATCAATCATCGAATTAGTATCAAGATCATTTTAATTCATTTACTCAGCCAAATCCTGCTGAATATCAGCTAGTTTTATGTCAAGCTAGTTGCATACTTACTAGAAAGCTCTCGTCTTCAAATAATACTCAAGGTTGTTACTAAAATGCAAGAATTCTTTCTGAGTCAACTAAATTTAGTGCATTAACTTGTCTAATAGAATCTTATTTTTATACATGATTTACTCTTTGATGGTCATTTGATTATACGGCTGCATATTTATTTTAGGCTTAATCCAGTAATCCTTTAGAGAGAGCACATAGTTAACTCTCTTAATTTTCATAAGATGCAGCAAAATCATGTTATACTTAGTGATTGTATCTTTGTCTAAAATGATCTCCAATGGCCATTCGCTGTTGAAGCTTAAGTTTAAGTAGTCAAGGGCATTAATAGATAAAACTTTATGAGTCTTAGGTTCATCAGAAAATGTAATGCGAATTTTCTCAATAAAGTCTGCTCCCTTTAAGTTCTAGCAAACGCTTTCATTGAAATGGCCATTTATCATATAGAGATTATCTATTTGCTTGCCTTTGTCTAGTTGCTTAAAGATCTAAGTTGAGAACTAATGCATTTAATAGCCAGCTTCCATAAAGAAAATTTGGCGCAATGTCTTTAAATTTTCCTATAGTTTGCACTAGGCATTTAGCTTTCTGACAAACCTTGTGCAAGTTTTTATGTAGATTTAATGGATTGGAATAGTAAGGCTTGTTCTGATGAAATTTTCTATAGTCTGCTGCCTAAATTGATAAACTTTGGCACTTTCTTGATTAATAATCTCTTCTTTTTCATTGTCTGGATTCTTTAAGAGATAGTCAAAAGTTTGAAAAGCTTGATAATTATTGAGAGATTCCTCGTAATTCATTAGTTCTTATTTACTGTAGTTGTACTTATTTGATAAAATCTAGTAATTATCCTCATCAATAAGCTACTTCTTAATGACACTTAAATCGTCTTTATTCTTTGCCTCATCATATTCAGATTTCATTTCAAAGTCTAGCATTAATCTTTCAGGAGTGTGATCAAATTTCTCAGGTGTAGCCAAAGAGTCTGAAAATTTAGTAGATGCAAAACTAGCATCCAAATTTTTTTAAATCTAGGGAATCTAAAATAATCCAATACCATTGCTGGAGCTATCTTGAAGAGACCATGAAAATGGAGCAACATTAAGCAGATCTCTATAGTCTTTGATAGTCTTAGACTCCTACATAATATTGCCAATTTTATAACTTGGATCCCAAATATCATTTAAGTTTTTGTCTCCACACTCTACCAACTTAGAATTAGGTTGATGTTTAAGTTCATCGAAGTAGTTAAATTAGATATCGTCTTGCTGCTTAATAATTTGAAGCTATTACTACATCTTTTCTAGATATATTTATCTGAAGTCAAAGAATTCTTCAAAGCCACTCTTAACTATGCTATTCTTTTCTAAGTATCTGATAATCTTAATTGATTTGCCTATGGACAAGATCTCTTTCATTGCTGGTCTTAGAAAGATTGGGATTGAAACGTCTACTTTTTGAGTCTCAGCTGCTTGCAAAAATGGACTTACTCCTTAATTGCCCTAGCCCATCAATTCCTTCAAATTAATGGTTCTAAAGATAAAGCTTTCTCTCCATTAGTTTTGAGAAGAAGCTTTTTGCTAGTTCTCGCCTTGTTCCATCTGATTTACGAATACTTTGGGATTAGCCTTAATGAAAAATTCTTATTTGGGATCTTTTAACTCACCTTTATCAACCCAGTCTGCCATTATTCCAATGTATTATTCAATGCAGGTTATGAATATCTCTTTTAGAACATTGAGTTCTGCTTGGTTTTAGAGCAGTTAATTATTCTTGATGAAAATAAAGAGACTGTTGAGTAAATATGTGACTCTATCTGCAGGTTTAATCTTATCTATTTGAATTATCTCTGTTTCCTCCATTAATGCAATATGAGAGTTGTCGTTATCTGAGTCACTATTTTCTTGATAATCCATATAGTTATAGTCCTCTTCAATGATGTAAAAATCCATGATACCTATTCTCATTACTTGATGAATCAGCTTTACCTTTTTGAACACATTATCTTTTAGCAGCTCCTTAAGTCTCATCAAAGTAAGTGGATCTTTAGGATTAATTATGTTGCTAATCATAGATAACTCCTTTGAATTAAAAGTTAGTTGACTGGTAGATATTTATCCTGCCTGGTATAAGACTATTTTTTAAATGTCACTTACTTCACTGAAGAATCTTTACAGGATTCTTTCAACTATATAGACATAACTTTCAATCACCATTCCCAGTTTGTCTAATTACTTCGTTAGTCCTTTAAGATACCATTGAGTTTCGTTTATAATATTTCCCATTTCAATAAACTCAGCTAGGAATGACTCCATCATCTTAGGAGTGACATGAATTAATTGAAAAGTATTCCTAATTTAAAAAGTGCATCTGCTATCCTATTTCTTCTTTGTCTTCATAAAAGTAGGTGATTCCAATTATTACAGCATCAAAACTACATCCATCACTAGCTATCTCTCTGTTACTGCATTGTAATTTATAAGGCCGATCATATCATGCTGTTATTTCAAGAAATCTCTTAGCAAATTAAGTGGCTCTGTGTAACCACTTTAATGTTAATTCACTTATGATTCCTAGTGCAATTTACTATTCTTAATTAGATCGTTATCAATAATCCTCTTCGATAACTACTCTTACAGTTGATCAAATGTTCTTACTCCAAGAATGTTTCTTAGCTTCTCCTGTCTTTCAAGCTTGAATTCCTACTCCTCTCTCTCTTTTTATTTAAGTTTTTGATAGTAGGGATTCTCTGGTGGCTGAAATTCGCTTAAATATTTATCTAAAAATGCATTTATGTTGAACTTCTTAGGCCTCTACCAAGGCTTTTTTACCTATGTCTTCTTTGGAATGGTTTTAATAATAGGAGCTTTTATCTTGTTAAGAGGCATTCCTCCAAAGAAAATTTAAGAGTCTTCTATTTACTTCTTGTCTATTCTTTTTATATTTACCTCTTTAATTTTGTTAATAAGAGTCTCATCCATTTCTAATTATTCTTATTCCTCTGTAGCATTGACCTATTCATTAGCTTTACTATTATCTTTGTAGTTTGCTTCTGATTTATTTTTCCTTTGTCTATTTAATACTTTCAAATCCTCATCATCACTGTCAAATTAATCATCACTAGACTCTTCGAACTCATTTTCCCACTCATCCTAGATTGCCTAGATAACTTTGTCCTCTTCAGTTTTTATCTTCAGGAGTTCTTCTATTTTCTTATCTTCAATTATCTGCATTTCTTCCTTTGTCCTATAAATCTTGTTGTTTTTAAACTCTTCAATGCTTTCTAAATCTGTTGGTGATTACTAAAGAAGTAGCAGCATTCTTACTACAGAATAGTGAATTTCTCCATACCCCCCTCCATTATTTTTCAACTTTCGCTTTGCAAACTAATCAATCAAATACGACAGTCTCTCAGCCTTGTCGTTTTAGTTGTGAATTATGAATTTTTCCATTAACTTTTTAATATTTCGCTTTATTTCGTTGTCATTTGTTTCGGGAAATGTGTGTCCTTGAATATTAGACAATATATATTCCTCAGCAATACGATAGTTTGCCTGAGAGGGCTACATCATGTTTATATAAAATGAGTAAATTTTACATCAAGACCTGAGACTTTCTGAATCAATTAGTCGATAAGTGCAGATTAAATCTACTCCTGAACGAGTTTAAAATTGCTTACCGCCATCTAATTAGACTTATTGTAATTTTAAATTTGATTAAATTTATAATTTCAAAAATATTTATCAAATTTATTGTTATTTTAACATATCGGGGTTTTGGGGTTTTGGGGTTTTGGGG